AGTCACGGGTGGATTTGAAGTTGTCAAGTCTTTTGGTCTTTAGCTGCAAGTGGAGAAGTCACGGACTCTACTGTTGTTGTTTATGTAGTATAAAGTAGTAGTGAAGGGTTCTCTAGTGTTCTATGTTATGAAAAACTTGGGTTTTCTCTTTGTATCGGCGAGGTTCTATTTTGGGTTCTCTAGTATTCCCTTGTAAGCTGACACTGGTAGCTCAAACTCTGTCTGAAGTTCTGGTACCATCTCCTTTTGTATCAGTTCTGTTGTAGGTACCAAATTCTGGCTCTTCTGTAATATGTTGTTGTTGAATCAAACTTGTTTAGTGTAGTATTTTAGCTGTCCATCTGTTCATGTCCATCTGTTCATGTCCGTGAATCAAACTTGTTTAGGTAATGTATCAGTTAGTGTAGTATTTTGTCTTAGTGTAGGTAATGTTGAACTTAAAACATTACCAAGAACACTAAAGTAATATTTAGATAAAAATATATGAGACTTGAAAACATATAGTAATATTTAGATAAAAATATATGAGACTTGAAAACATAATATTGACCTTAATCAAAACATTGAATTTGAACATGCCCATGACATAATTGGACTGATTGATAGTTAATTAGGATAGATGAAATATACAATTAGGCTAGTTAATTATTTTTAATAAAATTAATTAAGAAAAAATTAATTATTGCTGGTTTATTTACTCATTCTTTTTTACCACAACATTTTAATTATTTTTAATGAAATTAATTATGAAAAAATTAATTACTGCTGGTTTATTTACTAATTAATTTTAATTAGGATAGTTAATTATTTTTAATTTGATAATTATGTTCAATAACTAAAATAATTTTTTTAAAGGAGGACTTACCAACATGTCATCATCTTCATCCGAAGAAATAGAAGAAAGGTTGGACGAAATTCTCGATGATATCTTCGAAGAAACATACAACGACATAGCGGAGGCCCAATCCGTTATACCAGAGAAACGTGCTTATATAGAGCGAGACCGTGAAACGGGACATGTCCGTTTATGGAATGACTACTTCAGTGAAGATCCGGTATTTCCCGCACATCTATTCAGACGCCGTTTTCGTATGAACAAGGACTTATTCATGCGTATTGTCCATCGCCTTTCGGAGAACGTTCCATTCTTTCAACAAAGAAGAGATGCAACCGGGAGGCTTGGTCTATCTGCACTACAAAAATGTACGGCAGCAATTCGTATGCTTGCTTATGGTTCCGCGGCTGACGCGGTTGATGAGTATCTCCGACTTGGTTCAAGCACGGCTCTCTCTTGTCTGCGACATTTCATTGAAGGAATAATCCAGTTATTTGGCGAGGAGTATCTACGAAGACCCACACGAGAAGATCTTCAGCGGCTACTCGATATTGGAGAGACCCGCGGGTTTCCTGGTATGGTCGGCAGCATTGACTGTATGCATTGGAAGTGGAAAAATTGTCCGACCTCTTGGAAGGGACAATACGCCCGTGGATCAGGAAAACCGTCAATTGTCTTAGAGGCGGTTGCTTCACAAGATCTTTGGATATGGCACGCGTTTTTTGGTCTTCCAGGTACCTTAAACGATATTAATATCCTCGATCGGTCTCCTGTTTTTGATGACATTGTACAAGGTCGGGCTCCCACGTTAGAGTACATGGTCAACGGACACAAGTACAATTTGGCGTACTACCTCACAGACGGTATCTATCCAAATTGGTCTACATTTATCCAATCTATTTCACTCCCTCAAAGTCCGAAAGCAGAGTTATTTGCCAAATATCAAGAAGCAACCCGAAAAGATGTGGAACGGGCTTTTGGAGTATTGCAAGCTCGGTTCGCGATTGTGAAAAATCCGGCTCTTTCATGGGACAAGGAAAATCTAGGGAAGATAATGAGAACATGTATCATACTTCATAATATGATAGTCGAAAATGAATGAGATGGCTACACTCATTACGATCCAGCTGAATTTGAAGAAGAAAATGTAACCAGAAGTTCACGGGTGGATGTGTCTTATAGTAGGTATACGCCTCCAAGTATCGAGGAAATGCGTGGCGTTCGGATTCATATTCGCGATAGACGTATCCATGACCAATTGAAGAATGATTTAATAGAAAATATTTGGAACAAATTTGGTTATGAAGAATAATAAAATTGTTGTATTTCCATATTTTATCAAATAATAAATAAATTTTCCATTTTTATTTTTTTTTTAAAAATTATTATTTTATTCCTAAGGATTCGGGATTGGAGAACACCATTGGACACTAAAAAATGATTAAGATCCTTAACTATTCAAAAATACAAAAAATTAATAAAAAATCCCTAAGGATTCATTGGAGAGGCACACCAATGTGCATGCTCTTAGTAAGTTTTGTTTTTGTTAATTTGAGAAGTTCCCCTCAATAAATTTTTGAACCAGCGATCTAACAAACATATTTGACATTTGCATTTGATGTAAAACCTGGAAAAAAAACTAAAAGTCCGGTTCAAAATAATAACCATGATGTTTTTCACCGGTAAGTTAATATTAATTAAACGTCATTAGTTGCAATGATATTTTTGCGAGTCAGCTATATAGATTTACTGGATGAATAAGTTGACTTTAAGTATAATCTTACTTGATATTGATTTCTTAACAAGACTATATATCTGTCGACAAGCATAATTCATATTTATACTCCTACACTTTACTATGATTAGTTAAACGGCGCATGGTTAGTGTGTAATTCTGCAGTGATCAGGGTTGTCATTGGTATGTAGCGGACAATTATAAAAATGTTTTAATCTTTTTTTTTTTGTAAACTGGCTTTAAGAATGTTTAATTTTGATAAACCTTTTTTATTTTGTACCTAAATCAAGTAGGCAATGAAACCGTATTCTAGCATAGTAAAATAATATATATATATATAAAATCAGAAACCATACCAAATTTTAAGATTATATATGTACATTTTATTTATACCCAAATCCAAATAATTAAATTATTTAAACTGGTGCAAGCTATAAACTTACATATTAACTTAGGTCGCACTTCATTTAGTATTATTCATAATAAATCTCGAGAAACAAATTAACATATCATTATTAAAACTCGGATTAAACATACCAAGTGGTGGTGTTGGACGAGCGATTGGTGATGAATACTAAAATTATATTTCATTCTATAACTATACTCATTTTTTTGGTGTCACTAACATACTGTAATTCAACTTTATTTATTATGTTTTAGCACTCTTGATCCCTTTCTGGTGGTCATATTTTTTTTTTTGAAAGATCTGGTGGTCATATTTAATATATGTATATACAAGGATATGACCAAGCTAGTTGTGGTCAAATGAATTGAGGGGTAAATTTTTAATGATTCTTGTTAAGGCAACAAGATTGACAACTTATGATTCAAACTTTAGTGAGGTCTCTCTAAAGTTATCTCCCAACAAAATCATCTTCAAATTAGCACACTATTTATCATTTCTCTTTCCAACCAAAAAGAGTTTCCTGCTACATCTAATTATTCATTATTTTTGTCATGTACATATCAAATTATTCAATTGAAATATTTTCCATTTGTTTCAGGAAAAATATATCTCACTTAATTAAGCTGTTGTTCTTTTCTTCTCTAAGAGTTTTGGAGCGTGAATACATACATATCTTGTGTACGGCTGAAACTTCCATCTTTGCTAAAATGGTTTTGGTCAAAATCATGTTATTCGAAAAATAAAATAGATAAGGTTTATATGCATATATACTCCATCCATTTCACAAACATGTCAATTAAGAAAATGATTGAAATATATTTATATTCTTATTAATAAACATATTTAACTAGTAGTATTTGAAATAAATAATTTTTTTTATAAGACTAAGATCAATTCTCTCAAATGATACTAAAAACAGATTTTTTCACAAAAAAATACATAAAAATATGATCACAAGAATTTTCATTAAAGACGTAAAAAACTCTTCTATCCTTACTTTTCAAATATTTAAGTATAACTATAATTTAAATAAATAAATAAAAATATTTTTCGATTTTTCTTTTCAATTTCTTAATTTTGTTTTCCAAATTACATTTTGAAATCCAAAAATCCTTATTGAATATTTTTAAGAATGTATTTTAAATATTAGTATTTATTTATTTTGAAAATCTTGAAGCTCTCCCCCCAAAATCTTACCCCTCAAATCTACCACTAAGTCTAAAGTAGTTAAGCTTTGAGGTATTAGGGTCTATTATTTCTTTAGTGAAATTTATTTTAATTATTTTCTTTTTTATGGGTTATGTTTGTGATAAAAAAATCTAGGGTCATACTAGAAATTTCTTCCAAATTAATACATTTTACAATTATTATTAAATTTACAATAATTTTAAATTATATTGAAATTCTAAAATGATAGTGTTTGTGTGACTAGGAGAAATGTAAAAATAACATTTTTTGTGAAACAAAGATAGTATTGAAAGAAACAGTTTAACCTTTGGAATTGTCTTTGTATGTGCATTAGCGATTGTTTGACACACAAGCCACTAAAACTGATGTTTCTTGCAGACAATTGTTCCATCTTTATAGTTGTTCCACTTGCACACTTGTTCCACTGATCTTATGTGCATTAGCGATTGTTTGTGTGTGTGTATATATATAGCTAGTCACATATACTGTTTAGTATGCTGTATGCGCTACGTAAATTAAGATGGGTCCTTTAATGGGTATTTGGAACCAATTAAAAAGAAACTAATACTTGAGCTAACTATACTTCGATCGATCACCATTATACATCTTACTTTTCCAATTATCTCCAGTAGATTTTGTACAAAGGTCGGAAACTCACAAGTCACAACAACCCATTAAATCTACAGAACACAAGAAAACAGAACAGAATCAGAAAGACACACTCACTAGATCTCTAACATACACAAACAGATTCACAGATACTGAGATACATACACACATTCAAAACATAGAAGACAAACACAAACTCTCATCATCTTTCTCGTTTCATTATGCTTGCAATCATGATTCTTTTGGTCTCTTAACCCGCATGCTCCTCCTTTCTCTATCCTCCAGATTCTCTCCCTATATATACCACTTCTCATCCACTGATCACCACTACTTCTCTCTTCTCTCTCTCAACACACACTTAATCTGTTCTAGCAACCTCCTCTGTTCTGTCTTATTCCCACCTCTTCTTCTGATCTTGCAAATGGCAGTGTCCGGGTTCGAAGGATTCGAAAAAAGACTCGAACTTCGATTCTCAACAACCAATAACAACAACCCAATGGGCCTCCGTCTAATAGACTTCGAATCTCTACACCAAGTCTTAAACCAAGTGCAGTGCACCGTAGTCTCCGCCGTAGCGAACCAAAGCTTCGACGCATACGTCCTCTCCGAGTCAAGCCTCTTCGTCTACCCAACCAAGATCATCATCAAAACATGCGGCACCACGCAACTCCTCAAATCAATCCTCCTCTTCATCCACCTCGCTCAAAACCTCAACCTCACGTTACGCGCGTGTCGCTACTCGCGAGGCAGCTTCATATTCCCTCACGCACAACCTTTCCCTTACACTAGCTTCAAAGAAGAAGTCATCATCGTCGAACAAAGCCTCCCTAACTCTCTCCCTTACCGTAAAGCCTCCGTCATGACCCCTTCTAATAACAATTCACGTGCATGGCACGTGTTCACAGCGAGTGCTGACGTGGAACCCGACGAGCCACTCGTGGTAGTTGAAGTCTGCATGACTGAGCTTGATAAAGTCAACGCACGTAGCTTCTTCAACAATAGCGATGATTCAGCGGGGAAAGAGATGACGCGGCTGAGCGGTATAGACACGATAAACGCGAACGCGTTTATATGCGATTTCGCGTTTGATCCTTGCGGTTACTCGATGAACGGAGTAGACGGAGACCGTTACTCGACCATCCACGTCACTCCTGAAGACGGTTTCAGCTACGCGAGCTTCGAGTGTGGTTTGTCTTTAAACGACGACGGTTATGGAGATATCTCGGAGGTGTTGACACGTGCCATTAATGTTTTCCGGCCAGGTTGTGTGTCCGTGGCCACCACTTACGGTGGAGAGGGTTATAGCCACGAGGTGACGAAGCGCGTGGAGCGCGTGTTGGCTAAGAGGCTAGGTCTTAAGTGTCGGAGTAGAGTTATGGATGAGTTTCCGGGATCTGGTACGGTTGTTTTTCAGTCGTTTACTCCTCGCCGGAAATAGTCTTTCGCCGGAGGAAGGGGTTTAGGGTTTAAATTAGTTGAGAGGAGGAAGAAAAGGGGGGTGATGACGTGGATGGAGATGATTGGTTGACTTGGGTAAGGAAATGTATAAGTGGGAAGGTATGATCATGCACCCCACTTTGCACTTGTGGCAATGTCACGCCTAAAAGCATTTTTGAGGTTCAGTGTTGTAGAATTTAGTGGGGGAGAGGGTAAAAAATTGTCTGCTCTTTTTTTCTTTCCTTTGTTTCTTATGTTTGTTTTTAAATTTTAAAATTAAATTATCTTAGATATCTATATCAGTATTTTGTTATCGGTTTAATTGTTCTTACTTGTATGAACATGCAATTAATTCGTTCACTACCGTTTGACGAAAATAAAGTCCCAAGTATGCATGGTTTTTAACCTAACAAGAACAAGAGAATTCAGACAACGATCGTAAAAACATGTATACACATCATACCAAATATATCCTCCAATAGCGAAGATATATGAAATATAGGATAAAAGTTTTGCTTACCAGCTTTGGTTATGGTTTGTCGGTTTCAGTTACATCCGGCGTTTAGCAAACATGTCTCAGTCCGAAACTAGCATCGATGATAGTATAGTGTACACAAGTTCTGTCAAATTAATTAGGACTGGTGTCATCTTCATGATATTTTTAAAATGTGTAAATCCAGTAGAATCTAAAACTCAAGGTTAGCAGTTTAGGAAAAGCCGATCTTAACATGGATTCAGACCTAATATTGTGCATGTTTAAGTACTTAAGACGATTAAAAAGTATACTCCCCTAAACAACAAAAATGTTTACATGCTCAAGTCACGCTTTTTGTTATTGACCTTTTAAAGAGAATTTTAATATATAGTTAAAGTTAATAATCACGCATGTAAACTCTTTATCCACCCCCCAACATACTAAAATACAATTTGCACGTGACAATAATCCGACTAAAAGTAAAACGCAAATTGTATTATTATGTCCAGTAGCAAAACGTAACTCGTTTTTTCACTAAGATATTATGACTTTATGGGCAGTGGAAGCCACTCCACTCTGAAACTTTACGTTTGTAAGCGATTGATATAAGTAAATCGTTTTATCCTTGAAAAATACCACTTAATCAATTAATAAACAATCGACAATTTTCATAGATATCTCGGAGTTAAGAAGCTTCTCTGCTCGTCTCTACGATATATCCATTCACTTATTCCCTTCCCAGCACATGATTCATGCTCTAATAACATAAAATTGTATACAATTGTAAGTGATGTGTAGCTTTTTGAAGAGAGATGTACAAGGTTGTACGTTATAAGAAGTAGCATTGTTTTAAAAAGATTTCAATCAGAGAACTAAAACATAGATTTCCTCTCAGAACAAACAACCTTTGTGAAATGCATAAAAATATCATTGCTGTTTTGATTCTGCAAAATAACCATTGTTCACATCTCGGAACACAAACGTCAACTACTTAAGAGCACCCCCATCAGTGAACCGATGGGGGGAGGTGCATAAGTAATAAAAAATTAATTTTTTTTTTCTTTTTTGTTTGCTTTTTTTTTTTTAAAAAAAAAAAAAATAATAATAATAATAGACCAATCGCGGGCCGCCACGTGGCGTGGGACCCGCGTAATAGTGTTGATACAGGTTCATGAGGAAGAGCTTCTGGAGAGGAGGTTCATACAAAAAATCTTTTTTTATTAGTTTTTATTTTGGGGAATTGTGTGAACCCCCCATTAAATACTCTAATGGGGGTGCTCTAAGAGCACCCACATTCGTAAACCGAGGATGGGGTTCACAGAAAGTATTTTTTTATTATTATTTTTTTTTACTTTTTTCTGTTTGTTTTTCTTAAAAAAAAAAAAAAAAAAATTAATGGGCCAATCGTGGGCCGCCACGTGGCGTGGGGCCCACGAAAACTGCAATGAACCGGTTCACGGCAGACAACTTTTGTGACTCAGGTTCACAAGTTTTCTATTATTTTAATATTTTTTTTTTTAGGGAAGCGTGTGATCCCCCCCTATAATACCTCAATGTGCATGCTCTAAGAGACAGCAAAAGAAAAGATTCTCAATATTAACCAGCAAGAACACAATAACCAAGGTTGAGATTGTTTGAGGAATGAATTTTGCTTTTGTTGAACTACATTGTAGGAAAGCTTGTGCATTTTGCATCCCCAAAACGCACAATCCTTAGAAAACTAGTTAACAAGCCGTAAACATAGATAATACTAATAATATGATTTCTTGTATAAAAGCAACTGATCAAAGCTTCCGAATCTTGTGTGGCTTTTCCTCATCTCTGTCTTTTCTTCCTTCTCCTTGCATTGCATTCCTTCTAAGCTTCAACGTCTTTGGACAACAAAAGGTTATCAAAACTATCCGGAGACCAGGCCCATAGAAGAAGCTTTGATATAGATAAGTGGTCAACATGTAGATTTATGTCTGTCTCTAATGACTTCAGGTCCACTAACCTTTGTCGGGTTGTCTGGAAACGGATTGTGTCACGTGGCATTAACCCACCAACGTGGGAGCGGTCACATCTACCCACATAAACAATGGTTCCCTTCTGAAAATATCGGAAAATGGTAGTAATTTTTTTCACTTTCATATTGACTTTAATTAGAAAGTTGAGATTGAAGAATACATTACTCTGTTACTCCAGATTTAGGTTTTAGTTATTGATGAAATTATTGAGAATATTCTCTGGGAATTTTCTATTTAGATAATAATTTTTTTTTTTATTTCATCTAAAAATAAGAAAGAAGAGGCAGATTTTCAGTTATAACAAAAAAAAGAGAAGATGAGTTGTAATAATAGAAAACCAGTGATCATGTCTTCCGTTACTTTCTCTCTTCTCTTTCCTTAATCTCATTTCATGTCTCCAATTTCCATGGAAGGCGTTCGAGACTCGTCAGAAACTACTCTTGCTTCCACGACAACGTCTTCTCCGTCTTCCTCCGAGTAAATTTTCCCTTCTTTAATTCTCTTTTGACAAAACATATGTAAACTCGCAGAACAAACATTTGCATGTTTGTTTACCTTGTCTTGCAAGTCATCTGAAAATAATGTAACAAATTTTTTTCTTTATGTAAACTCGCAGCGATGTAAACGTTGAGAATCGTGGAAAACAATTAACTCCTCTCTCAACAAGAAGATCTCGAGCTGGCTTCTCTGATTCTTTCTCTTCTCATGGTAAAATATATTAAAGATTTTTAATATTGACTTTGAGGTTGTTCTTGGCTCATGAAAATATTTTGATCATTATGTCCAGATGAAGAACAAATAGCAACATTCTGCACCAATAAATCAGACTCAGACGATGATTTACTAAGGAACATAGAATCTGAAACACAATCATCTTCCGTGTTGAGCACGTCAGACACATCATCATCAGAAGCTAATCATCAACCCCACCATCGCCGTCATCATCATTCGCATGTAGGTCCTACAAACGGTCACTGGAGAGGTTTCCACCGTTTACTCAAAAAAGGATCATCAGCGATGCCATTCAATACATTCTCACATCTCAAAGGAGTCCCTAAGCTAACAAGACGCAAGAGCAAACGCATTAAAGATAACATGGTCCCTGCTCTACCTGCTGCTGCTCTTGACACTGATGACTTGTTCCTTTTCAAACCTTCTTGGAGAAACTACTCTCTCCAAGATATTCAAACCGCTACAAATGGTTATAGCCCTGGTTAGAAAAATCTTACTTCTAAGAATCTTTGTTACATTTTTTTCTATATATGGAGTAATGGGACATTAATACTGTGGATTTCATGGCAGAGAATCTGATCGGAGAAGGTGGATATGCGGAGGTATATAAAGGAGAGATGGCAGATGGGCAAATAGTAGCCATAAAGAAACTTACTAGAGGGTCTGCGGAAGAGATGACAATGGATTATTTGTCAGAACTAGGGATCATAGTTCATGTAGATCATCCAAACATTGCTAAGCTTATTGGATATTGTGTTGAAGGAGGAATGCATCTTGTTCTTGAGCTATCTCCTAATGGAAGTCTCGCTTCTTTGCTCTACGGTGAATAAATCTCTTTATTATTGTGATGTTGTCAAAGTATATCATTCTTTTGATGATCAAAGAACTAACTAAGATTTTTTTTTTATAACGTTTTTGTAGAGGCAAAAGAGAAACTAAATTGGAGCATAAGATACAAAGTGGCGATGGGAACAGCAGAGGGACTGTACTATCTTCATGAAGGTTGTCAGAGAAGGATCATTCATAAAGATATCAAAGCTTCTAACATCCTTCTCACTGAGAACTTTGAGGCTCAGGTATAATTATTATTAAGAGAAAGCTTATCCTTTTAAACTTAACAAGAATGAACTCAAAACCTATTATCCTTTTTTATTTATTAGATATCTGATTTTGGGCTAGCGAAATGGTTACCAGACCAATGGACTCACCATACTGTATCAAAAGTAGAAGGAACATTCGGGTTTGGAATCTCTCAATGATGTAGATCGTATATATTGATTCACTTATCTCTTGTGCTTTATAAAACTCACATAATCTCTTATGTGTTTCATACATCAGTTACCTTCCGCCGGAGTTCTTCATGCACGGGATTGTAGACGAGAAAACAGATGTATATGCTTTTGGTGTACTGCTTCTTGAGCTCATTACTGGCAAACAAGCCATCGACAGCTCACAACATAGTGTTGTCATGTGGGTATGTGATGTGTGACCCTCTCTTAAAACCCTGTAGCTAGATAGAGCCCTTATCTCATACTTACTTGACATGGATCTTGATCACAGAACCAATGTGAGTAGATTGTTAGACCATCCTAAATGAGAGTATAAAAATGAGTCTTGTTCCATAAACCAAAAAAATATTATAATATATTAGTATCTAAATAATTTGAGAAATTGATCCAAAATTCTTTTATTTCTAAAATTTTAAGTAGGCTTCTCTACTTTTAAACTACTTAATTTTATAATAATTTTGGGATTTTAAAAAATATGAGAGACTTACATGAGAAACTCGTTATTGGAAGTGATCTTATATCTATTTTATTGTGAAAGTTACTAACATGTGCCATCTATGTTTTTGCAGGCTAAGCCATTGATCAAAGAGAACAAGATCAAAGAACTTGTTGATCCGGTTTTGGGAGATGACTACGATTTAGAAGAGTTGGACCGTCTTGTCTCTATAGCGTCCTTGTGTATACACCAAACCTCCATGAACCGACCTCACATGAGCCAGGCATGCATAACAAAAACATTCACATCTTTCTTTAGAAAAAGTGATTAATATGGTGACTCACATATATAATGATCTATGATACATATATATACAGGTTGTGGAGATTCTGAAAGGAGACAAGTGCAGCTTAGATAAGCTAAGAGAAGGAGAAAACTCAAAACTGCAAAGGACATACTCAGAAGAATTATTGGATAACGAAGAATACAACTCAACAAAATATTTGAACGATATTAATCGACACATGGAGACTGTTCTCGGAACATCTAACGACTCTTGAAACATCTTACTTTTGTTAAGTTGAATGATTTCACTTACTGCTTATGTATTTGATCATGTTCAATATGTTGTGTTCTTCCATATTTGACTTAATGTATCTCTTAAATTAATGTTATCCTCTATCTGTTTTAAATGTTATTACTAAAACATAAGATATTAAATTCAAAAAATGTTCAATACAAACAAAAAGCTAAACAAATCAAATTCTAATCTAGTAATTGGACCGGGCATTTGGAAGATCCGGTACAATACGATTTGGTTCGGTACGGTACGGTACAAAACATTCTAAAAACCTGACAGGCAAAACTGTATTGTCCTGTTATTACAGGGAATATATTTATGTCTGTTTTAATTTCCTTATTACACCGACTCTCTCGTGCATTCTAGATCCAATCAACTACGATGTCGATCTCTCACCATGCAATGCTATTGATCTTCGCTGTCTTCTTCTTCTCCGTCCTGTTTCAATCTTCCACTAGCATCATTATCAACCCTTCCAAAGTAAAGCAAGTTTCATCGAAACCCAGGTTTGCTCTCGTGTCGTAAAGTTTGAACCTTTCAATGTTAAAATTCGATGAATCATAGAATTAGCTGGATTTTCTTTGTTTTAGGGCGTTTGTGTATGAAGGGTTCCTCACGGAATTGGAATGTGATCATATGGTTTCGCTTGTGAGTTTTTTTCTTCTTTTTCTTAAATTTGGAAACTTTGTCTGGTTCTAAATTTTGATTTTGTCGGGAAAATAAAAAGGCAAAAGCGAGTCTTAAGAGATCTGCTGTAGCTGATAATGATAGTGGAGAGAGTAAGCTCAGCGAGGTTCGAACCAGCTCTGGTACCTTTATCCCCAAAGCAAAGGTTCAAACTTTCTCTCTCTCTCTATCTCTCTCTTTGGTTCTTACTTGTTTGATAGATCTGTAGCTTAGCTCTGTTGATGATAGGATCCCATTGTTGCTGGTATAGAAGAAAAGATCTCCACTTGGACATTTCTTCCAAAAGGTATAAACTAAAATCTTGAAAAAATCTCTTGACAAGAAGATTTTAATTTGGTTTTTGTGTGTGTGACAGAGAACGGTGAAGACATTCAAGTATTGAGATACGAGTACGGTCAAAAATACGATGCTCACTTTGACTACTTTCATGACAAAGTCAACATTGTACGTGGTGGACACCGCATAGCAACAGTTCTCATGTATCTATCTAATGTCACAAGAGGTGGAGAAACAGTCTTCCCTCATGCAGAGGTTTGTGATGAACTTTTTGTATCGGTTCATTCCTTCTCTCTCTCATAAATATCTTGTGGTTTGTAGATACCTTCTCGTCGAGTCCTATCTGAAAACCAAGAAGATCTCTCTGATTGTGCCAAGAAAGGAATCGCCGGTAAGAAAATAAACCAAACACTATCATTTCTCTTTGTACCTTTTGTGTGTGTTTATTATTGGTTTAATGTTTTTTTTATCAGTGAAACCAAGGAAAGGGGATGCTTTGTTGTTCTTTAACCTCCACCCTGACGCAATCCCTGACCCGTTGAGTCTTCACGGTGGATGTCCTGTGATCGAAGGAGAGAAATGGTCAGCGACTAAGTGGATCCACGTGGACTCATTTGACAAGATTGTGACGCCTGGTGGAAACTGTACTGATTTGAACGAGAGCTGTGAGAGATGGGCGGTGCTTGGGGAATGCACAAAGAATCCAGAGTATATGGTTGGTACTGCTGAGCTTCCTGGCTATTGCAGGCGAAGCTGTAAGGCTTGTTAGAGACTTTGTTCTACTCTCTTAATATAAAACTCTATGTTGATGATGTCTCTTGTAGAGTTGTGTTATCGTTGGTGAACTTTTACTAACAGGAATATGTAAAACTAGTTGCTTTGTCTGTGCATGAAAGAAATGATCATTTTATAGTTACTTATTAATATATGAATTATTACTAGTTTAAATTCTATTATGATAAATTATTGTTTATGTTCTTAAAAATGTTAAACCGAATATCAAATTATTTATATATAGCTAAGTTTTTCATCAAAATATATATATGTTTGTTGTTGCTCTTTAAATTTTTGAATGTTGTCTTTTCGGTTATATAATGCTAAGATTTTTATTTGATATGCGTTTTCTGTTTAGACTACAATAGTTCCTTGGAGAAAATAATATGTAAACACATAATCCTTTATAGGTTTTAAGTAAATTTTTTGTTGTTGTTGTCGCTGAGCATCCTGCAAGATTATTTGATCCAATTTTTTCTTCTGAGCGTCCTGATAGGTGATGTGATCCATTTCCTTCTCCTAAGCGTCCTGCTACGTGATGTGGTCCATTTCTTCCTTTGTTCTTCAAAGCTACCTATTACTGCAGATTGTATCTTGTCATTGAGCTTTGAAGCGAAACTCTCATAGCAGCCTCTTGAATCGATGCTTTCGAGTATCTGTACTCGTCTTCCATGCAGTTTATCAATCACTATTTGACCGTCTTTCGATTCAGACCCTTCTGCGATCACTTTTACTTGCTCAGCTCTTAGTTTTGGCTTCAACACAGCATGATCTCCTCCCAAGAACAATGCTCCAAGAAACTCTCCTAAGAACATTCCCTGGAACAACAATTAAGTGTTTGTTTAAAAACCAGACAACATATTCTTTTCTAGGAAGCAGAAGACCAGAGGGCTATGTACCACATGCTTGTAGCTTCTGTGATCTTGATGAAGGGTCTGTAGTCTATCTAGCAACTTCTGCACGAACTTAGATTCAGGTGTTGTATCAGTAGAGTTGAGACTGCTGAGCATCGTCTGGAAAGAACTCAAGTTGCGTTGGGTCTCTAGAGGGATGAGTGTGATGTTGAGACCTGATTCTAGTACAGTCTTAGCTGCTAAAGGATCAAGAAACATATTGAACTCGGCATATGTATTTGAAGGAACCGTGAATGTGTTCCCTTTGTCTGATTTGTTGATGTTTATATGTCCTCCCACAATGTAAACTTCCTGCAATTTTACATAAAAATTAAGGATCTTCGAACCTGACGATATTATATATCAGAGAAAGGTTCTCACCTTGATAAGTGAAATTGAGTTTTTATCTGATGAGATGATCTTGGCTAAGCTAGTCAATGGTCCATTGGTTAGGACAGTGATCTTAGACTCTTCACTAACAGATTTGGTCAGATTTTGCCAAACTTCAAGTGCCAGAGGTTGTCTAAGTTCAGGACTACTAGTGTTTGCCACTGAGTTCTCTCCAATGTATCTGAGAAATGGTGTTAGTAAAAAACATTTGTAGGAGGCCTAATGTATTATACAACAACATATACTATATAGTATTACAATGCATATATAAATTACCTACGAACACTTCTTGGAAGGTCACGAGCAAGACCATAGAGAGTGTCAGAATCAAGTAAACCTCCACAGCCTTGTGGAATCGCCTTGGCGTACAAGCAATCTCCAACAGATGGATATTCCGGGTCAGATTGGTTCAATGCTAGCACGTCCCCTAGACCGATTGGTATGTCATCACGTCCCATCATATGTAGCAGATCATAAACCACATCTATTGTCGCTGCGTTAGCCCAACCTGTGGGACTGACAATAACTGCCTGTAAAATTAAGAGTAATGAGAGAGTTACTTGTGTAACAAGCAATATCTATGTCCCATCAATGTAACCCCTTGATAACATACTTTCAAATCTAGAATCTCCACAGGAACTTTAAGAAGATAGAAGAGAGTGAGAAAATCTCCAGCACTCATGTCCATATCGAGCAGAACAGGCTTTCCGAGCTGTGTATTACTAAGATCTGGTATGAACAGTTCTTCTCTATAGTATGGAAACTGAGTTGATAAGTTAAACCTCCCTGAATCTTCAGGTCTATTCAAAACCTGCTCATAATATAAGTGACTTGGTTATGACGCAAGAAAATTTTGATTTATCATATTTTTTTTTAAAAGTAGATAGGGCTCATAAGAACATAAAGAACTAACTTCCAAGATATCGACGTAGAACTCTTCATCCAGTTCACTTTTATAGTTCTTGTTGGGTTTAGCTCGTGTCGCGACAAGGACTTGAACTGAATCAGGTCCAGAGGTCTCTTGTGTATAACCATCCTAAATAGAATAAAGAGAGATTAATAGCATTGTTTACTCTGAAATTGCAATAATGATTAAGGAAAAGACATGCACCTTGCAGTTTCCTTTTTCTCTTCTTTGTATGCAGACTGGATCACGCAAACCAATTTGAACGTGTCCACTGTGAACTCCTCCAAGGGTTAGGTTAAACTTCGGAGTTATTTGTTTGTAAAAAAATGGATTTGAGGCGTCAGGTAATCCATAAGGTTTGTTTGAAGTAACAATGGTTATATTCATGTATTCCATTTCAGCGAAATCGTTTGCACCATTGTTTTTATTACCAGAGTTTCTAATGATCGAAACTGCAACACCAGCCATGAAAGAATCCCACATGTAATAGCTCTGTAAATAAATCAAAGCAACTTCATAAATATTGAGAAAAAGTTTCCTCATGAGGAAAGATTACTCTACAAGTTAGTTCATCTCATCTCATTTTTTCATGATAAGTTTGATATTTTTTCAACTCTAAAATACTCAATTAGTCTTTACTTCGGTGAGCTAATCTAGTCACATTAAAAAACAAATATTATCTAAAAGATGATTAATATAAGAACAATAATCTGTAAGAGTTTCTATACAAATCTATACATTCCATTATTTATGTCTTGTACTAATAATATAACCGCTAGATAACTAACAACTCACTAAATAGCTTCATAGAAATTGTGCACCTAAGTCATACTAGCATATAGGATGTAAGATTAATAGGCTAAAAAAACTAATCTGAGCTAAACCAACTCATAAGCTAATTACTCGTTTTTGCACTTCAAAAGGATACAAATGGAACTAGCTAGGTTTTAATGTTACCGAGTAGAATACTTCGGGTGACAAAGTGCCTCTGATGATTTCCAGAGACTTGAAAATGTATTGAGCTTCATATGTTCTTTGATTATTTTCAAATGTCTCAAAGAACTTCTTGTTGGTGGGTATTGTATTGGTTGCATCTAGAGGAACCAGAGTCATTGGAATACCTGAATGCAATACCTATAATGAAAACAAAACATGACATATGAAAACACACATTATAAACACAAAAACAGATTCACTATGTTAGAAACCTGGTAAGCAGCGAAAGGGTCTGCGAAGATGTTGAATTCAGCGTAAGGATTATTTGCGAAATCTGTGAACAAGTTTCCACAGAATCCGTTAGGTTTTGGACACCGAACACTACCACCCATAACGTATATGTGTTGTATGTTATGTTTGAGGTGAGGGTTTGACATTATGAAGAGAGCGAGATTGGTCTGAGATCCCATCAAGAAGATGCTTATTGGACCTTCAAGAACTTTGTCGGTAATTACTTTTTGTGCCGTTGGTTGATGGAGAGGAGTGTATCTTCTGTTTCCCTATTTTCCCATAAAATTCAAGATTCAAGAATATAATGAGTTGTTTTTTTAACAAGGAAATTATGGATCTTCCATGATCTCATTAGCTGAGATAATATTAAGAAAATAAGATACCTGAGGAAGAAAATGTTTACGAAACCCATAGTTGGAGTCAATGTCGAGTAAGCCTTTACGACCTTTAGGGATGGTTTGTCTGTATCTGCATCCTCCTGCTGTTGTCATCCCCTGATATCAAAATCAAATTTATATTAAAATAACTATGCGGTAGGACGAAATATTTCTTAAAAGTTGTTTTTGAGCCTTCTAATTTTTGTTAATTTTTTCTTAAAGCTTGTAGTAGGTTTGTTATGTAAATTGCCAACATAAATTACCATGTTTTTTTTTTGTTTTCAGAAAAGTTTAAAACAAAATATTTGTATATATAAAAGTTAAATTAAAATAATATACCTTTTACTCATCATATTTGATTATTTGTTACCATTTATCTGAAAAGTTTATTATATTCTTTTTCTACACTATATTTCTCTTCATTTTATAAAATTTCCTTCCTACTCTATTCATATTGTTACTCTGGTGATCACCAGAAAGAATCCATTTTAGATTTAAATTCACTAGCCAAATTATTTAAGAACATGTTCAAAATCATAATTAACTTGAAGTATCTTTAATTGTTGTATGTTAGAAACAGAGAGAAATAAGAAGAACCTGATCGATGATGGGAAGATAACCACCAACGTCGGGAAGAATAGTACCGTCGTCAAGAATCCCACCTTCACCTCCAACACCAACAGCGATATCGTCACGACCCATCATGTGCAATAAATCGTACACTTGATTCACTCCATGTCCTGGGTTGGTCCAAGCATTTGCACTCAATGTAATACCCTGTTTCAAAAAGGCAGAGAATCAACTAAAGAACGTTGGAGACTAATTAAAGTGTAGATGATGGTCAAGTGTAATGTGCTTAGGCTCACGACTAGATCGAATTCTGATTTGTTGAGCTTCAAGAGGTACGAGAGAGCAATGACGTCGTCTGTGTCGACATCTGTGTCCACTAGAATACGGTGTGGACTAGACCGAACACATGGAAGGGTATGACCTAAGAGTTCTAGAATAGTGATGACTATAACGAACAAGAACCAAAACATCTTCCAGTTAAGGCTCAACATTTACTAAGAAGAAGAAACTCAAGAGAGTTATGTTTCTTGTCTGTAATTTAGAAATTAAAACCAATAACAAGACATCTAACTACTAAAGAAAGGGGCATAGATATTATGAGGTAAAGTTTTTAAGAGAAAACTATCTTAATAATATATTTTTTTGAATTTTAAATGGAAGTATTTGAGGGAAAGAAGAAACAAATATATAGAGTGTAAAAGAACATTCACATTGGTGGAATTTCTCATATTTGCTTAGTTATTTAATTAATTTTTAATGTTTAAATAGAAATAAACCATTTATAAATCAATATGTGTCATGAGAATTTTTCATTATCATTCATTTTTGGAGTTCAAAATTTTATAAAATGAGGATGTGATAACATCATCCTACCAAAACGCGCCAGGTAATATGAATAAAGATGTTTTATTGATAAAGCTTTCAAAACTCGTCTTTAATCTATGGTTAGCGAGAACCACACACCTTAAATGCCAAAACATATATCAAAGTGATAGTGGCGTTTTGAAGACTAATCCATCCCTAAATTAGTAATTTGAGAAATAAATTTCCTTTTGAATTTTACCACCAAAAAAAAGGTGGATGGATTCATTGCATGTCAGCATTTATTTGTAAGTCTTTCCTGCTAGAGTAATTGATTTTGCACACGTAAATGCTTCCAGATTAGTCTTTGGACTCATTTGATTGATGAAGCTTCAAAAGTTTTTAAGAGAAAACTATCTTACTAATACTCCCATCCGTTTCAATTTAATTGTCATTCTAGGTTTTTACACACAATTAAAAATATAATTAATTTTCCATATTTTCAAAATAAAAACACAATTACCTATACACCTAATTACTTTTTAACCAATGAAAAAATAGAATAACATTTAAAATCAATAAATTTTACATTAAAATTATAAAATGACATTTATTTTGAAACGAAAAATTTTACTCTAAAATGACATAATTTGAAACGGAGGGAGTATATTTTTTTGAATTTTAAATGGAAGTATTTGAGGGGAAAAAAGAAACAAATATATATAGTGTAAAAGAACATTCACATTGGTGGAATTTCTCATATTTGCTTAGTTATGCAATTAATTTTAAATGTTTATATAGAAATAAACCATTTATAAATCAATATGTGTCATGAGAATTTTTCATGTATATCTTAAATGATCTAGTTTGAGAAACTATTGAAAATCTCAAATTATCTAACTTGAGAAACTATAGAATATCTTCCATAAATGCAGATCATCCTTTCATTATCATGCATTTTTGCATCCTTTAATAAATGCAGATCATCCTCTCACTAGCATGTGATAACATCATCCTACCAAAATGCGCCAGGTAATATGAATAAAGATGTTTTATTGATAAAGCTTTCAAAACTCGTCTTTAATCTATGGTTAGCGAGAACCACACACCTTAAATGCCAAACCATAACCACCAAAACATATATCAAAGTGATCGTTTTGATGACTAATCCATCCCTAAATTAGTAATTTGAGAAATAAATTTCCTTTTGAATTTTACCACCAAAAAAAAAAGTGGATAGATTCATTGCATGTCAGCATTTATTTGTAAGTTTTCCTGCTAGAGTAATTGATTTTGCACACGTATCTTAGCTTCATCAATCAAATGAGTCCAAAGACTAATCTGGAAGCATATACATTCAGTCCAAAGACTAATATGCATCTTTTGTGTTGCTCGCAACTTGGTGGTGAGTTCCATTTCTTCCTCTGTTCTTCAAAGCTTAACCGCAGATTGGTTCTTATCATCATGTCTAGAAGCAAAAGTCTCAAAGCAGCATCTTAAATCTACTATTTTTAATATCTCTATCTGTTTTCAACCCAGTTTATTGATCAATATCTAACCATTAGCTTTAATAACAAATGTATATAAGACCATTTGTCCAAGAATCATTTATAGACCAAAAAATGTTATACAGTCAGCGAAAGCAAAACACTAATATATAAAACACTATTCGATGAGGAATATACTAAGATCACTGAGCAGACCATTTCCTGTTATTACAGCTGAAGCATCACCACCAGTCTTTAAGAAATTGGAAAGAACACAGATCACGTAAACTCATCTGGTCATTAACCAATTCGTTTCGTTCTCAAAGGGAATCTATTTGCGAAGCAGTAGCTGAAAGCTGAGACATGCTTTTTTAATACAGCTCCCTTTCAAGCTTTCTTTAATGAACACACTTTCACCGGTTGAAATGAGAGTCTCTGCCATTGAGGTTTATATCAAAGTTTGTGTGCTAATCTCGTTCGGATTGCCAGTGCAAGCTGTGTGACCTTGTTTGGATGGTAGATAACGGCGCAGACAGCAAAACAGACAACCAATGTAGTGAGTAAGAGAACAGTTTGACGGGACCTTATTGTTTGAGCAGAGTGTATTTGTATACATGACTTCCTCGGCCAGTCCCCTATGTCACTTACGTTCATGACAACCTCTTTGTTTAACAGAGGATCCGTCTCTTTTCCGCCAGTGTCTGGTGAAGTCGCTTGTATCCTCTCCTTACAATCTAATCCTGCTTCCGGATCCTGTAAATACAATGAAGGGGGAACGTTAGTGTGCAAACACCAACAGAAAGATGCAACATTCTGCGCAGAATCCATTAATATATCGTCATAATAAGCTTGAGTGCCAAGTTCAATTTATATCAAATAAGGGAAATCAGATAATAGTGAAAATAACCTGATTAAAGTTTAATGTTCTTGATGGTATGTCCTGGAAACTGCTCTCACAACAGCACGCTGATGTAACTGGATTCACCTTTGAATCTTCATCGCTTTGCTGCTTTCTGGCTAGGTTCATATTTTCATGTAGAAGTCTCACGTCGCAGTCACATGTACAGTGAACGAGACTGTCTGGATCCATTTTCTTCACCAAAGTTTCCAGATTGCGCAGTATGTTTCTTAAGATTGATGGAGAGTTACTCTGTATCAAATAATTCAACACTCTGTTGTATCTTTTTATCTGACATCGGTTCACGGTTAGCTCAGTGCATTCTGCAGAGGGCACCTTCACTGACCATGCAATATCTAACAAGAGCCCAGTAAAGGTGCTTTGCCTCTCTTTGAAATCCCTGCAACGGCAAGTCAAAGAACAACAGCATGCGGTAACATCTTGTTCCTTTGAAAAGAGTGTAGCATTGAACTTCTGCTCTATTAGTTTCATTTCAGAACAAATAGCTTTATCTCCAATTATTAGAGGTATGAAATTTGATAGGCCAGATTCATTTTCAACCTGCAAAAGGATTTGAGGAGGACCATATTATTCGCAGAAACAGAGCACATAGCTACTTGTAAAAAACATTATTATTAACCAATGGGTACCTCGACAAATGCAGGGCCAAAGAGATTAGGGTCAGAATTCACAATAGTTATCCTATACAACTTGTTATTACAAGAACGCTTCCCATCCTGGTCCGGTGCAGGTACAACAGAATAGTTATGTGGTAAGTACTTTCCAGAAAAAGACACAAGAAACCTGCAAAGAAACCATTCTCATTTTATTCTTTCCTGGGTCATCTCATTGGTCACACGGCCAAGAAACCAAACCAACACACAATGAGTAGGAATCCCAATGCAACATTTTGAAGGTTCTTGAAATATAGTTTCATCATGTGCAATATGACAGAACAAAAACATGCCAGAGAAGCCTGAAACATTAAACAAGGGCTGATACCCATACCGGCATTTGGGTTGCAGAAGGTTAAGTCCACAAACAATGAGTTCAATTGGTTTTCCAGCTTCAAAACATGTTGGATATACAAACTGAAGTCTCGGTGACTCTAATTTTACATCGGCTCTTTTTAAAGTTGTTCCACCTGTCAAAACCAAAACAACCAAGAATAAACTTACAATAATGATGTCTGAACTCAAAAGATTATGCGTATCCAGTATGATAGGAAACAAGAAAACCAGAGAAAAAGTAAATCACATCATCTTGCCTTTCATAAGACGGAATATCATGTTATTCAAGTATACAGTCATCGAGCCTCTTCCAAATAGCATCTTTCCAGGTTTAAGAATAAATTCGTCAAGGTATGCCACCGGATCTTTAGACAACTGCTTAACGGAACAAATAGGAAACGCTTATCACAGTGAAAAGTCAAAGAAAGGTGCTCTAGTCATAGAAACTAGAGCACCTTTCAAAAATTGGTGAAAACAAACGTTTTTATGTTGTGTTGTGGCATCAATAACAAGAAAAATGATAGGTAAAAGATAATAGAAAGTACCTTCGCCCACATAATTTCCGGCATTGCGATAAAGACGGTCAAAATTGTACATCCTGGACGGACATAGCCCTCCAGCTCAACAGGCATGGTGGCCAACCATTGGAATATCTGCAATTCAATTGGTCACACGAAAATCAGTTCTTTGAGATGTCGAAAAGAGTAAACATAGTCTCTGAACACTAAACTGTAATATAAAGTTCTTGAGTATACTTGATGACGTAGTCTCCGTGGGAACTCTGCTGGATTCCAATCGTAGAGCTTAAAAGAGATCCGTCCTGTAGGACACTACGATGAAATAAAAAATTAGTTCATAACGCACACAGAAGTTTTTTGATGTAAGGCTGAAGAGAAACTCACCACAGTTGAGTAAGCACTTTTGTTGTCACCACAGGAAGGTGAAAGTTCAAACTTTGTGTCATTCATTCCTTCATCTGGTTGAGCTTCACCCGAACCCGTAACAGGGACAAAGTTGTCTGCGTTGATGCTATGAGGAAAGGGTACAGAACCCTGAGTAGGAATATGCCGATCTTCAGAAATCAATGAAGCCTCTTGTTCCATTCTCTGGTCACTAGTATTATCTGCTTGAAGTTAATAACATGGTCAAGCGGAATCAGCTTGAATTCCCAAGAAAACATGCAAGAAACAACCAAAACAAAAAAAAAATCACATGATGATCTGCTTTGCGCTGCTCACTCATACCTTTGCCATCATCAACATCAATTACACTGTTATCATTCTGTGATAACACTTGTTTAGAACCAACTCCTCCTTTATCCACAGGTTTCCTTTTCCGCCTATTATTATGACGCTCTAGCTTTCTCCTACAGCTGCGTTTTCCCTCATCAAAATCCGGAAGCACATGAAACCTGCCATATGGTTCACTCACTGTTAGCATGGAACCAGCACCGATACGAGCCAAAAAAGGTTAAAGTTCACGCTAATAACATTTGACACCAACGAGCTGCCTCACTCGGGCTTAATTCTTGTTGGGAGGGACTATTTACATTTCTTTGTTCCCAGCCAAAGAAGTGAACAGCTCTCTTATAGAGAGCAAAGAGAGTTGGATAATGATTTTATGTGAAATCATTCAAACAGATCAACAGTCATCTCTTATCCTATCAAGATTCAATCCAGATCTCATGAAGATAGTTACTATTGTATCTGTTAAACCATAAAGCCATAAAAGGAATCATTACTTTCCACACTGTTGACAATATCTCTTATCCTCTCCACCAAGCACCACAAAGCTAGCGCTAGCACACGTAAGACAAACCCTATGCCTCTTATGATACCCTTTCAGCTCGCTTATATCCACCTCACAACCCGGAACCTGACACCTCACCACACCCGACCCGCCTCGAACCCGCTTCCTCTTCGGCAGCTCCGCCTCCTCCAGCTTCCGATCGAGCTCCGGACACGAGCAGGGAACCATCCCTTGCACGAAATTGGAACAGAGCAGCCTCGGGTCACGCTTCCTGACCCGATCGGAGCCGGAGCCCGATTCATCGGGAGAGGGATAAGACTCCGATTGCGTCGTAATCGGAGGAGGAAGGGGAGGGAAGATTAGTTGATCGTCTGCGGCGAAATCAAGGAGATCTCCCCAATCCCACGCGGCGGAGGAAGGATCGTCTTCGCCGTCGAGTAATGTTGGCGGTTGGATATCCATCTCCGGTGGCGGTTGCGGTTGTGACATATAGATTAGAAGGTATCTGATGCTGCTGCGTCGTCTTGAAATCGTTGAGGACCCATCGGTTGTTACGGAAGTTGGTGATTTTGGTGGAAGGTTTTTGGGTTAAATTGCAAGTTAAGTCCTCCAAATCTGGGAAAATAGCATTTCTTAGGCAAAATAAATTAAAACTAGCTCCACTAGTCTACAACTGTTTTTATGAACATGAACTTATTAAACAAAGTCATGATTAGTTTTAATCGTGCGATAATAGTTTATTCACGTAATATTCTTCTTTCTTCTTTTTTGCTACTTCAGTTTTTGGACATATTCTTTGTCACAAAAAATATGATTGTAATAAACTTTAGCTTACAAAATTTTAAAAGCTTAAGATTAGGTTTAAAAGCTTGAAGAGAGATGTCGAGTGCAAGCTACGTTAGTTTGAGGAGAACGATAGTTGATCAGTTGTTATCGAAAACGATGTGGGAACAGTGTTACTTGGGACGTGAGCTCTCTTTTTCTTTTCTCCAACAATAATGGTAGAACTTTTAGTCTTCAGCTTCCAAGTCAAGCACCACGGGAATTTAGACACGTATCTCCTCTTACCATGTGATAACTATATCCTCTTTGTACTGTATAGCAATAATATTTGTCTGATGATTGGGCGAGTGGCACGAGAATATGTGTTGAAAATTGGGAGATTAGCTCAGTTCATGTATGGCCCATTCCTGGCCCAAGAACGAATGACACAACCTGAATGAAATCGACGACATTTCGCTAATAAACACGATAATCTAATAGAAAAAGCTGTATATTAAAGTAACTAGGGATTACAACGTATGAATCTTGCATTACAAGGCACATCCCGTGTTGCTTTGTCGGATAACTGAGGCTAACTATAAGCTTGGCTTCAACAATAAGCAACAACTAGATTTTGACCCGCCCTTCGAAAGGGCGGGTAATTTTTTTTGGTTTTTTTCTTTTAAAATTTGGATGATTTTAGAATTGTGATATTTTTATTTATATGGTACGATAATAAAATTCTATGTTCAAATGATGTAGGGATTGATTAACACCGGCATCTTAGGGTGAAATCTTTTAAACACTTTCCGATTAAGATACGTCTTTTATAACTCATATATAAAATTTTTTTTATTCTTTTTATTAGGTAATAAATTTAAAATGTATTTTACGAAAGTTAAAAAACAACCCTAAAGGAGCAGATATAATTATCGGCTTACAAATTTATTATAAAATTTAATTAGAATGATGGAAGGCAAAATGAAATAATTTGAATTTTATAATTTTTTAATGCTTAAAAGATTAAATATCAATATTTAAATTGTAAAAATATACAACCTATTAATTTAAATATGGGTAAAGTGATATAATATCTGAAATTTGGAAATGAAATATTTTAAGTATAATTTATTCCAAGAACATATTGTTGACATTTTGATTTTGTTAATTTTAGTTTTCATATTAATGGTTAGGAATAATTAAGCCGTATTTCATGTATATATATTAATATAGTATTGGTATGAATATATACAAATGATAGTGGATTTGGTCAGGATTTAAGTGGGCTAATTGGGCTAATAAGTTTTCAAATATACCCAATATTATCTGCTGTTTTGATCTGGGCTTATGTATTTGGGTGTAGGGGAAGAAAATCTCTCATTTGCTCGACACTTCTAAAAAAAAAGGCAGAGGCGATTAACACATTTGCTCGACGGATCTGGTAAATCGACTCGTTCTGTTCTTGATTTGTGCTTTAGACCCTTTTGCATGTTGTTTTCTTCGCGTTTTCAAGATAAATCAGTTCGTTATTTAGGGTTTTGAGAATTTGGGTTTCAATCGATTTGGGGGAAAATGAGTTTGTTGTTGATTTATGGTAGTAACTCTCTTGAATGATGTTTTCTTCTCGTTTAGAGTTGGGGTTTGTGCTTCTGATCGAAATCGAGATCAATCGATTTGGTGTTCAATGAGTTGTTTGACATCTTGTTCTCTTCATCTATACCAAATATGAAAAAAATATGTCAGACTTCTTATAATGACAGCAGATATCTTATCTCAGAAGAGAATTTGAAAAAATAATTAAACTTTGTCTATAAGAATGTGCTACATCTCACCTTTGGATATAGTTTTTTGCTGATAAAGTATTATCTTGCTTACTGGTGAAGGAAGGAGTAGAAGTATTTATATTGCAGAGGAAGAAAACTACGTAAATGCATAAAGGATTTACATTAGAGTATTTGAGAAAAAACAGGATGTGGTTATTTTATATTTAGTATGACGGAAAAATAGGAGATTAAATAGAAAACAATTCGTTGTATATTGCTAGGAAATAGGATTCAAATCCTTTTTAGTCGCAGTGAATTTTTTTCTTTTTTCTCCAAACTAAAAATTCATATTTGTGTGTATATTACAGCGGTATTCTTATTGGTGACACATGTTTCTTATTTCCAGGCGCTTTGGAATAAAAATGATGACATCAGGAACGACAGTGAAAAAAGGAACACATAGAGGAATTCATAAGGCCACTTAAGCATTGGAATAATATGTAAGTAATTACATACAACTCAGGTAGATTAGAACTCAGGCCTCTCTGGAAAAATGGAAGATAAGTTAAGAATCTGATTGTTAATTGCTGAAATGTCTCTTAATAATGTTTCTGAAGCAAAGTTAGTTTAAGGTTATAAGATATTCTTAGACTTGTTAGGATGAAAATAGAATGTAGACAACACATTTAATCCTAATAAAAGTTCAACTAAAACCAAATACTTGCAAAGAACATAGTCATAGGAAACTTAAAAGGGAAATCCTAATTGAAAACTGAAAACGTAAATCCTAATGAAAACAGAACAGGAATTGCAAACAGAAAACATAAGGAAAACAGAAAACAGAATAAAAACAGAAAAACAAAACACAGTTCCACACTTCCTTAGCCACTTTTTTTAGATCTCGACTCCTGCTTCACACCTTTTTCTTTTTTCACATACACTTTGGTGTCATGTTTCTTTGATGAGGAAGCAAGTTCAGATGCACTTTCGGTTTTAGAAACTACTTTGCGCTTAGATGATGGGGTTGTTTCATGCTCCTCGTTTCCTTGACTTTCAAGAAGTAAAACTGAACCCTACAAAAGCATATCAATTTTAAAATTAGTGAGGTCATTAAGATTGTGTTTGAAAATCTAAATATTTTCTAAAGCCATAACATACCTGTTCACCACTATAATTAGCAGTTCCAGTTTCGGATGGAGTACATGACTCTGTGACACCAGCAGTCAATAGCATACTTAAATCACTCCATACTTTACCAACCTTAAAATTCCCACATTTGCTTGTAACATGGTCCTTGTCAATGAAAACTCCAAACATGAAAGTTTTACCAACCAAAGAAGTAATAGCCTCAGGAAAATCATCAACATCTTCTAGCTGTATAATGAATATAGACTAACTTAATAAATATCTTCCATATGTATAATGAATGTAGTTTATTAATCATATTTTATGCAAAAGAGTATACCTCATCAAACGATCCATTGAGAAGGTTAAGTGCAGTCTCAGGCACGATTCCTTGTGCAGTCCAGTCTAACAACATGAGGCTAGCTTCTCCAGTACCATCCTTAACCATCACATGAATCTTGAACCTGTTTAATCTAAATATTATTAATACGCATAAACACTGTAAATGGATTTAAACAAACTGTGTTTTGGAATAAATATTACTTTGGTGACACATCTGTAACTTTATCATTGCAACCTTCACACCACCAAACATGAGACTTTATCTCCTTTCCATTCACCATTTTCACAGTAGTAGAAAACGGAAAAACCTTTTTTCCCTGGCAAGCATTGCATCCAAAGTAGTACCAACCCCAATCCTTATCAATAGCATAGATTGTGCTAATGATTCTGCATTGACCAGTCTACATATATAATAGATATATATTAGTGTTTGACAGAAAAACCAATGCAAAAAAACTTATATTGAATATATAAACAAAACCTGAGTTGATTGAAGTAACTCTCCAATGTCTTTCTGTGAGAATTGCATCCATTTATCACGTCTTATTTCCCTCACAACTTTGTCTTTTTCAGATTGAAATGTTGTTAAAGCATTGGAGACTTCAACCCTATTTGCAACACAAATGAACATAGATTAGTGATGATATTACATAACCTTTTCTTTGTCTTTAAAGTTGTTACAAAAACCTTTTCAAAAACTCATCTGCCTCCTTTATTGGGGGGTTGAAAAAGATCTGAGATGTATCAAATGAGTTCGAGATTTGAACCTGACCTGCATATTGTACATTCAAATTAATCAAAATATAAGTAAAACTCTAATTCAAGTTAATGTATACACAAACACTATATTAATACCTCGATAGGTCCCAATTTTAGCAAAACGCAATAGGCAAACAACAACTCCTGATTCGGCTTGTTGGGTGAAAGTGTGTATGCGTTCAGCAAACTTTTCCCAAAGACAGCAAGATATGCTGTGATAACTGTTAAAAACATTTTATTTAAAGCTTTTAAACAAATATATATGATATAAGAAATAAATTGAATGGATAACTTACTTAGTATCTTGCAAGCTGAACTCGATTTTCTTCTTTTGTTTACCCTGACATTGAATTGTCTCTAGCTCTCCCAGTTCAACCACTTGTCCCAAAACATCTAATATACATAAATCGGATATAAGTATCATAGTCAAGTTAACAACGATGTAGATGTGTTTATTTTTTATTACTGTAAAAAACTAACCAATTAAGATGGATGGCTCAAGTTTTCCACTTTCAATACTTTCAAAGTCGACCAAACTAAGAAACATGTTGTCGTCTTGCAGTGTTGAAGGAGTGATTTCAGTGGCGTGAATGAAGACAATCTTGTATGGATGATCAGTAGTCTTGAAGTTACCGCCATTATTAGTGACAGAGAAATTGTCGATGTTCCTCCAAACACCAACAGGTAGTTTATCAGCCAAACGATGAAAGTAAGATTTCTTACATGATGCATGAATTTTGTTACCCTTCAATATAAGAACAAAAACATTACTCAGTTAGTACTCTGCCAGATAGATGTAGTTAAGAATAATGAAAAGATATAACAGAACGAATCTGAGTAATGAGTTAAGAAAATTACATATGCATCAGACAAAACAAACTCCATAGTTT